GTACGTTTTTTTTCTCTTGACTTACTAATGTTATTACATCGTAGAAAAAAATTATCGAATTTTTTCAATTTATAAATATATTTTATTTTTGAGAGTTGAAAAGTTACTCTTACCACTTCCTGTTTTATTTATTTGTACTGACCAGAGGAAGTAGATTTTACACTCTTATAAATTTACTTAGAAATAGTGAGAAAATGGAAAATTGAATAGTAAATATTTGAATTGTTCTTGTTAATTTTTCTCATTTTATATGAATATCTTATTCTATCTTATAAGGATAATTTAATTATACTAAAAATATTATTATTCAATTATATCTTATATTCAATCACAATAAATCTATTCAAATCCATTATTTTTTCTTCAATCCAAACAATCCTTAATCCACTTAAATTAAATTCACTCTTTCAAATCTTCCTCCCAATCTAAATATAAACTTTAAATAAGTAGTTCATCATTTAACACGATCTTCATAATAATTAATTAATTCATTATATTTTTAAAAATGTCAAGTATTACATCATTGAGGAATTATTATTTTATTATTTCATGTTTACCCACCTCTTTTCTAAGAATATATTGTGTAATATAATTTTAGACTTATACAATATCTTTCATAAATTGTAAGTCATCACAATAAATAAACTAATTTATCCATTGTTTGATCATACGTGTATTCATGTATTAAAAAAGAAAAGAAAAGAAAAATCTTTAATTTTAATATTTTCACATAATAATTAATAAAATTCAATTCAATTTAATCATGATACTAATATTGAAATCTTCTCCTATCTCTTGATACCAAATATTATAAAAAATAATAAAAACAACAATAAATACAAGTAAATTAGATATTTTTTTCTCTAATAATAGGGTCCATCAATGTCCCAAGCAAAATATAATTATTTTACGCAAATAATAAGATGGACCACATAAAGAATATAAAAAACATCATTAACATGAAACAACTTTCAATGTAATGTAAAAACTTACCAGATAAAATTCAATAAGAACTTTCATGAATAATATAATTATTAATTATTACACCACAGCACAATTCTCTTAAAGCTTCTTAGGATTGAATATAATATATATATATATATATATATATATATATATATATATATATATATATATATATATATATAAAGTAAGAGGTATTATTATTAACTTCAAATGATAAAAATTGTGTGTTTGCGCAGAAGAAAAATAAGAAGTAATTAAAGAGCTATTAAAGAAAACAAAAAATCAATCATTGATGTTAATATATGATAGGTAAAAGCATTTTTTGTATGGTTTATATCTCCCATAAACTATTTATGTCTTTCATATTAACAGAGTTTTTTCATTAGAATAAAAGTTTTTTCTTTATTTGAATAAAGCCATTTCATAGAAAAATAAAAGAAGAAAATGTCTGGTGTATTTAATGTAATATATATATATATATATATATATATATATATATATATATATATATATATATATAAGCACTATTGAATTAGCAAAAGTTCAGTTTATAAAATAATAAAATTTGACTTAGTTTCTTGACCATAGATTAATTAAAAGTTATATGGGTGAATGAATTGCAAAGAGTGCAAATAATAGAGACATTAATTGTGGCATGTTGTAGTTAAAATAAATATTTGAACTTAAACAACATGCATGTTCCAGGACCCTACAATATATTCTTGATTATACAATCATGAATTATGATTTTCATTAGCGTGGAGCCCACTTTCATTCAAATTGGGTCTAATTATGACCGCACATTTGATCTAATATCAGAGAGGACCCTCACTTGGGCCATTTGTTCTTCCTTACATTGCATTTTTTTTTTCACTTTTTCATCTTTGATTCTGAACTTCATCATCTTCAAATTTTTTGAACGTTGGAAACAGATATTTTATATCTGTATGAACTAAAATTTTATAATTTTTTTTCTAATTACAATCTTCAAGATTATCATTTATAAAATGATATAATTAATGAATATTTTTTCTAAACTATTTTAGATAATAAAGAATATTGATTTAATGTTAATAATTACTTTTAATATATTATTAAATATTGCTTTATAAGGTAATAATAATATGGAATCCTTAGCCAATATATTTTTATTTTTATAATAATGACACACACGTGATGACCTGAATGCATCATTTTAAATATATTTTTGTATGAATACATAAATAATTTGGCAGCATTGACCTAGAAAAGCCAACCCCATCAATAGCACTTGACAAGGAACCAATCCTCACTTTTACTTCACCAATGAAATGGTGCATTCAGGAAAGTTTTTACACATAACCACATAAAGGTAACTGGAAAATTATTTTTTAATTTGTTTTGAGATTTAAAAATTATATTAAAAATTATATTAAAAATAATATATCAAATATAAGAAAATATATTAAGAAAAGTCTCATCAATCATGCCAAAATACAATACATTCATGTAATCTTTATTCTACAAATTGGTTTTGTGATATTAAATTAAATTGAAATTATTTTTAATATAATTTCTAATGTATATATTTTGAAATTTAAGATAAAAACATTCAAATCTGTTTGATTTATCCATATATTATATTATATTAAAAACATAAAAAATAAAAAATATGTTACAAATTTGACCTTTAAAAGGGCCCAAGTCTATCATTGTGTTGCCAATTTGCCATGTGTGACTATCCAGGTAACGGAATCATTTCATCATTTATTTCTGGCTTATTTTGTTGTCATTGCATTTGGAGTTTCACAAATGGATAATGATTAAGTTTTCCATTTGCCACAGATAAATTTCAATGCCTATCTGTTCTTAACTCAGTGCTCCTAGTGCATAAAAATTTCCTTACATTCAAATTATAACATTTTAAGAAGTGAGTTCATATATGATACAAGGCAAAGGGTCCAAAACATCACATAAGAGAGATGGATGGTTCAAGAGAATATTTGAAAAAGGGAAAAAGTCAGAGGATGGTTCATCTAGCATATTCATGGTTGCTATAGAAGACAAAACCATGCATATACACATAATGAATTGAATGGACATTTTTCACTCAATGACCCAATCCCCCACCAAACACATATGAGGCCAGATTAGATGTTGAGACTTTTGTGCTACAGCTGTGACAGTGTTCCCTTCAAGTGAGGTAGGTCTACACCATGCAGGGTTATAAGATCAAATGTCACTAAGTGATGTGCCAATGAAATGCAACTCAGCTACACAAACATTACCAAAAGCATTGAGTATCAAATTAGGATAGTGGTTCCACACAGCATGCAGAGCTGGTAGATAGTGACTGAAATGTGGTTTAGAAATCATAAGTACTGCATGATTCCATTACTTATTCATGGGCCCCATACTAGATTTTGTCTATAATTTGCATTGTTTAAAATTGATCATGGTTTGACCTCTGAGGAAGGCACCACAACACATCACAACTGCGCGTCAAGAAATTAGGCCTTTTTGTTCTAACAACTACATTATAATATCAAGTTTTGGACTCATGATTGAGGTATTAGTGTAGTGAGGCAAGATTCACTTCAGACTCTTCTCCCTATTTGTCATATATTGTTTGTTCTTTAGTGTGTTGTGAGAATCTAAACCTATCAATGTCTTAAGGAAATTAACTAACAATTAATTACATATAATATCAAGTTTTCTTCACTAAAACAAGGATATATTTGAAGCAACTTGATATAAAGGTTGAAATGAGATAAGTAAAAATGAAGTTTTAGGCCGAATTCTTAATAAAGTAAAGAGGAAAATAAAGTCCTTAGGGTAGCTGTAAATTGTCTTTATATTACAAAAAGTCAATTTAAACATTTGGAGTTGGTAATTAAGTATAGGTCTTCTTATCTCTTCTGTCTGGCAGCATTGGAAAATTAGTAATATCTTATCCATAAAGAGAAAGAGAAAAGAGAAAGAATACTTGCTTCTACATTAGATTTGCTCAATGCTTTATCGTGCTTCTTTGTATTTTAGTGTAGGTAGTTTGTGTGATATAGCTAGAATATTATTGAGTGCTAATATGTTATTAGTGTGGGTATATTAAATTGCAACACTGCTTGTTTTGTCCTCAGTTCCTTTTCTCTCACTGAAATCTGTGAACTTATCATTTTTAATTGTGGATACTGTGAATTGTTTAAACTGAAACAAAAAATAATCATTAGCTCTTCTTCGGTTTCTCTTAAAAGACTCTGCCATCATCTTTACTGCACTTAACTAAGAAATTATACCCTCACAGTCTTACTCAGAGTTTGCTATGATGTGTTTACTTCTTATAAATGGTCAACCAAGACAAGAACTAATGAAAGGTAAATAGTCTCACAATTATGTATCATTCTATACTAAGCTATAAAATTTATAGACCAATTTGTATGGACTAAATTATATTTGTTTTAGAAAATAAATTGATAGTGTCTCAGACATATTCAAGATCAAATAGTTTATTTACCTAATTAATGAATTTAGAAATGTAAATTTATTTCTCTAGCACCCTACTTCAATTGACTTCATGATATACAAAGACACATATATCCTTCCAAATCCAGACGAAGAAAAAAGTGAGGGTGCAGAAACAATGACATCTACTGTTGTGTCTTTGTCAAAGATCAAAAGTTGTAACCAGTGACAGAAAACCTTAATTTCATTGTGCTGTCTCTGTATGTTTATTTTTTTCTCCTCCCCCTTCTCTTGAAAATTCTTTTTATTTATTTTGAATACTATTATTACTACGATGGGCTACTAGATAGCAGGACAACACTCAAATCAAATAATTGTTCATGTTTGGCCTGAATCTCTGAGAAGAACAGCTTTAACATAAGATTCAAGTATTATATAAGTTGTATGCACATACATAGATATCGCTTTCCATCTTTACAATTGGAAGAAGGACTGGTGAAAACAAAGCAAATCAGGCTCAAAAAGCTGCTTCAAGTAAAAGCTAGTTAGGTGCTAGCCAAGCAAGCAAGCCATTACACAACACTGCTCAATATTGCTTAGCCTTTGGTTCTGATAATAGTGATCGTGCCTCTTCCCTGTGTGTGAATTCTAGTAAGGGCCACCACTGCTTTCCCTGAAAGGCCTGGACCCTCTGCGGACACGCATGGCCGACATGCAAAGTCCCCAACTGGATGCCTCACTGGCCTTGTGGGAGGCATTAGGATCCTCTCATTTATGTCATTCAATGTCACATCACCTTCCCTACCTCCTGGCTTCACCATTGCAAATGGATACACCACTCTTGTTACCACCTTTTTGTTCCCCAAATCATCACTGCCTGTTCATTAATTGTAACACCATACAATGCACCAAGCATTTATTGATGTGTTAATACAAACAAATATATATTAGGACAAAACTTAGGTACACTTTCAGGTTTCCATAGATGATTCTTACGCCATTCTTCGAGTAGAATTGGAGTTCTGTCTAAACCTTTAATGCAAACTTCTATTACTAAAATAAAACTCCAATTCTGACTGAAGAAAAACACCAAAAAGCAACTGTGGAAGTTTTATCGTTTTCCTTTTATATTATCATATTTAGAAGAGAAAAGTAGAATATAGTACCTGTTGGGTCTACTGTGAGGTCTGTGGTTTTGCATGTGACCGGTTGCTTGTATGAAGATGAGGATGAATTTAAAGATTCAGAGGTTGATACTGTCTCTTCTGGTGTTTTAGAATCTGCTAGTAGAATGTTTGCTTCCTCGCTCCTTGATGTGCTTATAAGCTCATCTGCAATACATCAGGTATGAGCACATTAAAAAGGGTACAAGCACAATCATCACCAATTGTCAATACATTTTTTTTTTTTTAAATTTTTCTCTGGGACCCCTTTTCTCAATAACTTAATTACAAGGGCAACCTTATATATATATATTATTTAATGTTTTGTTTGGAATGATAGCATTTTGAACCAAATTGACCATATCATTAAGAACTCATGTTACAAGCAGACATATATGACATACATATATACCTGAAAATCCACAAAACCTTTCTATCTGGTTCATGCAATAGAAGTTGAAGTTCTCTACCGGTTGGTGCCATAAGGGGTTGAAATTCCAGAAACTCTGAAGAGTGAAGAGGACATGATACATATTCAGTCTCACTCCAAGAACAAACAGAATATCAAACTGATAGATGAAATGAATACTCAAATAAAGAGCATTTATGGTTAATTCTAAACCTGCTGCTCTAGGTCATCAATGAAACTCTTGTTATGCTCATCAGTAGTACATGGCAGCAAGCGTCTACGTTTGGAACGCTCACATGATTCAATCAAAGCATCTTCGAGATACCCAGTTGAGAAATCAGAATGTTGAGGCGAGAGTGAAGGTGTACTTCCTTCCATAGCTTGCACTGCATATTGAATATCACCAATCATTTCATTGCAACACTTAGCTAGTTATAAGCAGTAATATCGTTATCCAAGAAGGAGGTAGCAATATAAAGAGAAAGAAAAGTATAGTACTTAAAGACAATTTGTCCGCGTTGAGAACTCCAAGGTTGTGATAGTCCCAACCTAGGGAAGAACCACAGAGGCTAGTAGTATTAGTGTAAGCTAGGGAATGAAGATGGTTCATGTTGTAATGAGGTATAATACACAGTGTGACTCAGTGGCAACAAAAAATGTTGGGAAGGTCTATTTATGTACAAGCTGTGGAAGAAAACAGAAAAGCATGGATGAGTTTAAGAAAGAGTAGGAATAGTAGTAGTATGAGTCAGTCAACGCAGGCTAAGGAGAAAAGTGGATGTTCCTTGGGATTCTGAAAATATGTTTGTGTTCACTTTAGTTTTTTAAAATTTATTTCCTTCGTTATATATGTGGGGGACTAAATAATTACAAAGGTTATCATATTGTGCTTCTGCTCTTAAATGTAAAGCAAGGGTGTGGAAAAGACATGCCCCCAAAGAGACATAATTCAAATTTCAGCTTTTCCTTTTGTGTTTTTCTTCCTGGACCCTTTGTATGGTATGGTTACCAACCGTTTCTCCAATGGGGCATTGCTTGCTCTTTTTTTTTTATTTCTCTTGCACATTCTCTCACTCATTGTGGGGTTCATATCTTCCACCACATGGAAAATCAACTTGGTGGGTGTCATATAAGGGTCCCACCAGAGGGCATGCTGTTGAGGGGCCCAGTTAAGGTAAAAAGATGAGTAGAAGAAGAAGATGAATTAAATCATGGGTTTGGTCTTAGGGACCACCTTTTTTAGCCCAGGGTTTGTTTGAATGGTTCAATATTGTGTGGAATTTTGTTGCACACAGACATAGGCATGGTAGTTTGTGTGGATATTGATGGATGCACTCACAATCTAACACAGATGCTTTCTCTACTCACCATTTCTTTTTCTTCATACTTTTAAGAAGTAAATAGGTTTGAATTCATAGACCTTGATGCATAAATGAAACTGGAGTTCAATCAAGAATATCAATTAGCATTAACACCTTCTCAGGCCATGAACTTGGACCTGCATAGTAGTACAAGGTAGGTACACAATTAAAAGTAAAATGTTTGAGTCAGGGTGAAACATGTGGAGGAAATTTGAATTCATTTAAGTTTTAAAAAGTACAGTTTCCATTTGGATTCCCAGCAACTATTTCCTGGGTACTATATCAACTTGAGTGTTAGATGAAACAGGCAAACAATTATGGTGTCTAAAATTTTTTCTTAGTTCAGGCATTTATGGGAACAGAAATTTACCCAATTCGATCCAAAGTATTGAATAAAATTTTAATCACAGCATGGGGATTTTTAATTGCTTACTATTCAAAGGAAAAATAAAGAAGAGGAATAATTTCTTTTGGGTACGAATCATCCCATTTTGCTTTAAAAATGTTAATTTAATGTCGTGCATTAAAGAAGAAAAAAAAAAAAAGGAATCAAAATACATACCAAAGCCCTAAAAGGATAAATCGAGTGCTAGGACTTTGACGAGTAGTTACTCATCATCTCAGTTTTAACGCTTTTCTTTTTGGCCAAACTTCTTTAAATTTTAAAAAAAATATATAATTGCACCTCAATTTAATATATCTTTTAGAAAGAATGATTATGACCTAATATGGAGAGAGGAATTGAAAGTCAAAATTTGATACAGCTTAATTATGAGAGGCAAATATATATATATATATATATATATATATATATATATATATATATATATATATATATATATATATTTTTTTTTTTTTTTCATAAACCCCTATTGGAAAAAGGGTTTAAATCATCATTAATTTTTAGAGTAGATTTATTTAAATTCACAGTTGATCTTAAAACTGAATTTACAAACTGTATAAATTCAAGGAATGATAACTTTTCATCTTCTCTTATGGCTATTAAAAGATTCTATATTGGATTAACGGGGGTTTTAAATTCAAGTGTAAAATGAGAATGAACTTGTGGTATTTCATCTTCAAATCACTAGACTGAAATGAAATTGGGTTTCTCTGGCTAATCAAAATGAAACAAACCATACGAGCTTTAGTTCGAACTTCATCTTGCTTCATTATTATCCTTCAAATATTTGAAGTCTTGCAACGATTTTCTAATATAAAATTAATATTCCTTTTAAAGGAGAAAGAAATTAGGCAGTCCATAAATTTTAAAGACTTGCATGTGTACATGACGGATGTGGTAATATCCCATGTTTTCTATTAATTTATTTTTTAAAATAAAGATATATACTCTCTTTTCCTAGATATATTTTTATACCAGCATTATGTTCACAATGTTGTTTTGATCTTCAATAAATTTTTTCTTTTCTTTTTGACTTCTGAAAAATATTTTCTTTCTTAAAAATTGACACACTAAACCTTAAAATATTCGGATTTTTCTTTTAATCTCTGAAATTTCTTTTGATGTTGAAAACTTTGAAACAAATGTGTCATGTTAACTTGAAGAATATAAAAACCAGGAGGAAACACAATAAATAAATTAGAGACCAAAAGACATTTATTAGAAACCAAAAGAAAAATCCATACATATTCTAAAATAAAAAACAAAAAACATTTATTTAAATTTTCTGTAATTCTTTCATCTGCCTTTTATTTACAATTTAAATTCATTTTTTAAGTAAATAAAACACTATAAAGAAATAGTTAAATACTGCCAAGTGCCAAGCATTATGCTCGTGCAAGAGACTTTTATCATCATAAGTACATTTCAACAACTATGATGCCAATATTTTACCGGCAATTCCAAATCAGAATTTGAATAAAGCAACAAACTACAGCACAGAACATACTACTGTACTCTTCAAAACAACACCAAAAAACCATATTTGATCTGACTAAGCATTTGTCTCACTCGTACAGTGTAGCTCGCGCAAAATCTAGGATGAATTCCCTTAATCCACATGCAACAAGAATCAATACCTACAATTCAATAATATTGTAAATATACCCACAACCCAATCAAAGAAAGTTGTGAACATTCCGTGTAGTAATTCAAACAAGTAGTCGAAGACCAATTAAATTCAAAGAGCGAGGTCACACAATAAAAATAATAGAGAAATAGAAAGTTTCTACAGGATAACAAGACATACTTTTTAAAAGTTCTAAAGAGAAAGATCTACACAGGTGTGATAAACAAGCTGATTACAAAAAGGGCGCAATAGAAGGGGCAAAATGACAACTTTCAATTTGAATTGCGCATTAACCACTAACAAAACCAATTATTTAACATGAGGGTCACATCAGTTTGCATGTCATGAACTCTTTCTTCATTATTAAACAGATAAAAGCTCTTCATATTCATCATTCCTTCCCTTACTCCAGTACGGTTATTGGGCAATGTGGCATTATATTTCACTCTAGACATAACTTGAACACGACTCAAGACTGATGTTTTGACAGTAATTCAATAACATACTAGGTTTAAAAACTAAAAATCGTGAGTTTAATAACATACTAGATCAAACCAGAATTGAATAATAACAATCAAAAAGAAATCGATCTGACTCTGACTATCCATATGGTCAGAAAGACTAATCACTCTTTTTCCTTGGTTTTACTTAATTTCTGCACCTTTTATCTACAAAAACATCATGCACTAAAAGGTTCATGAATAAGGCTTCAGACTTTTAAGAAAAGGTTTCAGTCTCCTAAAATAAGTTCTTCAATTGTAAAAGTACAATCAATGTTTTCTACCAAAAAAAAAATAAACAGTGTTATGGGCGGGCCAATATATATATATATATGAAATTTGTGATCACTGACTGAAATTAATGAACACATGCAAACAATCGTAGAAGTGACAATAAAATGGTGCCAAAAGAATAATAGAATAAACATAATATAAACACTAAGGGATGCAGGTTACTTACTAAAGTAGCATCCTAGATGGTTAGTCCTCCATAAGAACTTCATCAGTATCAAAGGTATCGCCATTCTTCAATTTGCCACAGACATTGCATTCCATGACATTAGATGGGGTATCACCCTGAGGAGGTAAAGGAGCTAATGTTCCCCAGCAATTCAATCTATCACACATGTATCTTAAAAAGAAATAAGAATGTGGGAAATCATTGTTATCTTCAAGGGCATGATTGCCAGTGTCTGACGCTGCCATAGTTTCATATTGGTCCTCATCCATAACCTCCTCTTCATCCTCAGCATTATCTTCAACACTATCATTATCTGACCAATTAGACTCCACATTACATCGATCACAATTACAGGTGAAGCCATAGTCTTCAATCAATCTTTTTTGCCTACTAGAATAGTTTTCATTCACAGGGAAATAACTCAAACAGATCTCCCTACCTTGGGGAACATCATGAATCATCCTAATAATAAAGTCAGTATTATGGCAGCCATCAGGTGGATTGGCGTCCACATAATCAAATCTGCAGGCATTGGGAAGGCAATCATGGTTAAAAAACGAAGCATAGGGGTAAATACCATAAGCTCTGACAGATCTCTGGTCATCATCTGAAGAGAAGGGCTGCATTATTCCAAAGGCATTGAGCTTGTCCTTGACAAGAAGTGTAGAAGTCAGTTCTAAAGAAAATCCATTCTGCGGACTAACGAAAGAAGGTGGGCAGAGGGATGAAATAACGGGGTGTAGGAACTGAGCTGCGGCAATGATACTATCATCAGGAGAACCCTGAAGAGATAGCAAAATTTGAAAGTCTGAAGGGGAGATATTTGCAAGATTGTAGGCAGCTATGAGAAAATTAGCTTGGACTTGGAGCTCAAGGGGCTGTTCAAGCAGGGGAGAATTGGCTCTGAGACAAGATAATGCTTGACATACCCAAGAAGAATGGGAGGAGTTCAATGCCTTTGAAAGACAAGTTGAGCTGCAGAAACGGTGGTGGCAACAATTAGGACAAAAAACTGTGGATGATGAAGTATCTCCCTGTAAAATTGGAGGCAAGATTCTGAAGCAGTGATCACAGAAACATGACGTTGAGGAAGAGGACGACGACAAGGACTGTCTAATCAAGGGCAAAGCTGAATACAGCAGAATGGGAGAGTCTCTTAGAACAATTTGACCAGCTTTAATAGGCTGAGATGCAACCATTCCCCTCCCTCTTCCTTGTATTTCTTCAACCTTCAAAAGGGAACTTCGTGCAGCCAAAGACATATTTTAAATATTTTCAAATTGCCAACTTCCAAGATTCAATAGGTAGCGTTGGGCAGGCTATACCTTATTATGAATTTCCACAAAATCCCTAACAGAAATAAGTTTTTTTGGCTATATATTTAGCTTTGCACTACTGAGATCAAAAAATAACTTGAACTAATCGACCTTTCAGATTCTGTACATACGATACAACAAGAACTCCTTTTGACTGTTCTCCAAGTCAAAGCGACAAAAACAGCTGCAAGATGAACCATAATATAAACAGTGAGTTTTCAATGACATATACTAGTATATGTGCCTTTTCTTTTTCATAAAGATACAATCCAAATCAATACATCACATTAAAATGTCAGTTGCAGTATAGATTATATTACTAAAGAAGTCATTAGGGAACTGCATTTCATCATAACAATAAAGCTAACCAAATATTTTTTTAATTTATCTGAGAACAACAGAGATTTCATGTTTTAGTAATTTTCATTTTCAGTGGATAAGTTTCAGTTAGCTAAAGAACCAAATAATATTTTCTTGCAAACTAACAAAACATAAGAAAATTCAAGAACTTCCTTTCTATCACTTAGCGCCCCAGATGAAATCAATGCTGGGATTGATAGATGCATTTATTGAGAAGAAATCATAACGGAAACCTTGACAGTTATTCTCATTTCTCAATAATCAATACAATGCAGCTTGGTTCTTCTTATCATATTGGGTCTTCATAAGTGAGGATATTTTAAAGTAGAAAGAGAGCTTTGTGCCAGAGGACTCTCGTGACCAATGCTTAACCTTCAGGTGATGTTTTTTTACCAATATTTTCAAAACCATAAACATAACCCAATTTAGATTCAACTCCTGCCCAATGGTTCTCGGGTTAACAGAAGACAAACAATCATTCCAACTTCCAAGTAATAAGTCCCAATGAAAGCACTTTCGTACAACACAGACTTATCTTTAAACAGGTCCATGTGGCTCATGAACTCATAGATCAATTTAAAAAAGAGATAAATTCCATATAGCTCTTTAAGGTTAATGCTAATTACACCCTTCTTGACTTTTTCAGAGTCACAGTGAAGTGGGGTTCAATTAATCAGCACCACTTATGCTGAAAACATTTATGGATAAACTACAAATTGCTTATTTGCCTCAGTGCCCATAAATAATGTGATGTTTGACAATTCTCAATTGTCTGATTTGTTGAAACACAACCTTTGTTCAAGAAGGTTTGTAAATTTGGGAACAAAACAAACCTAAAAACAGGAATTGCAAATTACGCAACCAGAACATAACGATGATCATCTTACCTACTACGTATCCGTCACAAAATTGGAGCTGCTTCCAACACAAAACTCAACAAATATAGAACCGGTGAAAAATGAAACTGCACTGCAACACAAGAAATAAAAGCGCTATTATTGTTATGATTATGGTAATCTTCAATCGAAAGTCGGACAAAGAACGCATTTCACTGACCTCACTCAGCAAAATTTCAAGGAAGCGCCAATTTTGCTAAGAACCCTGCTTGACTGAGATGCATTCAATTCATTCCCTTTATTAAGGGCTTTTTAGAGTGGGCCTTTCCCGTCTTCCTTGGGTCTCATTAGGTCCAAATATTTGGGCTTCCTGCAACTCAATAACAAGTAAAACATATAAAATATCCTTGTCCTAATTTTGTTTTTTTACCGTAATTTTTTCACTTTCATCATTTAATTATTTGATTTTTTTATTATCATCTTTATTAAAAACCTTTTTTAACAATTAAATATAAATAATTATTAATATTATATATAAATTATATGTTTCTATACTCAAATTACACAAATACACCAAATTGTTAAATATGAAATAGTATCGCAAAAATGAGATTAAATTCCAAAAAAATCAATCCGAAATGCATTCTGAAATATATTTCCAAAAAGTTCAATTCAAAAGTGCATTTTAGATTGGGTGTTCTGGAATGTGATTCTAAAAAAGCCAATTTGAAAATACATTTTGGAACATTAAATCCGAAATGTATTTTCGGATAAACACATTCTAGAACACTCCATCAGTAATATATTTTCGAATTAACCTTTCTAAAAATATATTCTGGAACATTCAATCTAAAATACATTTTTTGATTAAATTTTTTGGAAACACATTATGAAATAAGTGTTATGGAATGTATTTCCAAAAAAGTCTTTCTAGAAACGCATTTCGAATTGGGTGTTCTTAAATGTGTTTTAAAAAAGATCAATATAAAATACATTACAATGATAAAGATAAATGTAAAAATAAAACAAAGTTTAATATATTATGGGGTTACAGGAAGCATGGCTGTGCAGGAAACATCAACCCAGCAAAATCTCATCATGGAAATTATTAATTAAAAAAAATTCACCCACCTTTCCCTCCAATAAGGTTAGTTTAGAGTTACACCTTATACGTTAAAAAAGAAGAAGTTATATTTTAAGGCTGAATAAATTGTTTCTATTCTCAAATTGTTATATTTATTAATAAAACTTTAAGTAACTTTTTAAAATAATTAAATAAATAATATTTTTAAAAATTATTTCTATGACTTATAATTAAATTGAAATAAAATAGGTGTAAAAGTTTCATTTAACAAAAGAAATTCATATAATTTTCTAATAAAATAATTTATTTTTCTCAGATACTTAAAATAAATTTCATGAGCAAAAAATAATTTATTTTATTTATTTAAAAAATAAATATTTCGAGGAAGATAATTTTTTTTAATTCAAGTATCATTATAGTGATTACAAAATCTGATCTATAAAACTAATAAAATAAACACTAACACCCCAAAACTTATCTTAAATACATAATAGAAAGGGAATACAAAATTCTCCACTCATATGTATCACACAAAAAATCTTATAATCATGAGAAGTTTCTTCCAAAACAAGACGGAGTGTGAACACCCTCTAAAAGTTATTCCTCCTCTAAAGATGAGTACTTTTTTTTATCATAATATGATTTTTTTTTAAATATTAGTTGAAGGGATTATTCTCCTCATCACTAATCCTTCGTTTAAATAGAATTGTGAACCAACCATCCAATATAAAAATAGGATTATAAACATGAAAAAAATCAATAAAATGTAATAACATTTTATCATTTTATAAAATTAATATATATATATAAATCATAATAATCACATATTATCTAGTGTTTTGCATGACTTTTAAAAAAATTTGCACTAGTTATATACATCACAGTGTAATCATAACTATCTCAATAATTGTCACCTAAGTTGTAATTTTGTTCCCTAACTTTAATGATTATTTAGTATATTTATTTGTATATTACAATTTTATCATCTTAATCTTCTTCAATTTTCTAATTCTTATGTAATTTATGATTTTTTTGAGAATTCCATTATAATTTCAACTAATGCACGTGAAAATACTATAATAATTACATATGGACCACTCCATTTGGATCTTAAATAACAAAACTTTTTATCCAACAATAATTTTTTTTCTCAAAATATATTTATCATGAAATCTCTTTGTTCTTTCTTTATAAATTTTTCAAAAGCTTTTAATCTTAATTCTTCCAATTATTGAAGTTGTAATAATTTTCGGATACCACCATCATCAAAAGATAAATTACTAACTTTAACAAGTCAATAAGCTTTATGTTCTATTTCAATTAAAAGATGACAATAAATCTTACAAACAATCCTAAATGGAGACATCCCTAAAAGTATTTTGTAAGTTATCTTATGAATCCAAAGATGATAATCTTGTTGGCAAAATTTGGGTCATGTATATATATGATACATAATTTAAATGTGTTAGGGCCATTATTTATTAAGCCAAATAATAAAGTGATCTGACTAAATTAAAGTTTTGGTTAAAGACATATGTCATGAAAGTAAAATTGTGTAGAGACCATTGAGCAATTTCTAATTTGATGAGGGACCAAATTGGAAATACTAAAACTTAAGTAATTAACCTAATTCTGGTTATTTTAAGGGGTCGTGGTCCCCTTCTAGGAGCACACACGAACGTAAGTATCGGTCCGTTCCTTTCTTTCTATCCCCATCAAGAGAGAAAATCAAGAGGGAAATACAGGTGCTCTTCGGTGGAAGACCATAAGATCAATATAGTGCTCTACAAAGACATCATCATTATGGCTAATTCAGGTACGCTTTCACATTCAATTTACAACATGTTTATCAGTATGAGATTACGTTTATGTTTGATCGTTAGAATCAAAATTAGGATTATTATTATTATTAATTTTCCAACACATCTAACTTAAGACTCTAATTTCTTCTGTGAGTTGACTCTCTAAAATTTTCTTAATATCTTTATTAGATATTTTAGTTTGACCATTTGTTTGAGAATGATAAACTGTAGATATTTTATGCATAAGTTCATACTTTTTTAATAATCAAATCTAATACAAAAATGGGTTCCTTGATCATTAATTATTTCTCTTAGTATTATAAATCTGCAAAATATGTTAGCCTTACCAAAAGTTACAATAACTTTTGAATCATTAGTCTTGGTAGCTTTAACTTCTACCCATTTAGATAAATAATCAACAAAAAGTAAAATATAATTAATTCTAAAAGACGAGGGAAAAAGATTGATAAAATCAATACCCGATAATTAAAAAAGTTCACAATATTAATTATTGAGACATTTGATGCCTTTATGATATATTATGACTTGCTTTGGCAAATATCACAATTTTTACAACATAGTCAAGAATCTTTAAATATAATAGGTCAATAAAAACTTACATTAAGAATTTTTTTTAGTCCTAAATGCCCTTCAACAAAAATTTAAAATAGAAATAACCTTCTAATAATTTTATCATTACAAATTTTTCATAAATAAAGATCATCCCAAATAAAATATTTAGAATAATATTTTATCTTATCTCTTTGTGCTTTTGATATATGTGAAGGATAAATAGACGGAACAATATAATTAACAAAGTCATCTTACCTAGGTCTAAAATCTAAATTAGAATAAATGTTATAA